ATATTAGGCAGATAAACTCAGAGATCCCCAAAGTATAAGGAAATTAGAAGTAAGGAAGGAATTCAACTGAGAAGATTTTATATAACAGCAGATGAGCAAAAGGGAAAACATTGGTATTTATTATACCTTGAACAGCAGATCTTTGGCAGTCTCCTTCAGCTGTCTAGAGCACGTCATCACAGAGCCATGCATACCACGGCGGTATTAGTGCCCAGATTCAAACATCACTTCCCACAAGCCAAGAAGCACGGATACGAACATAGCGCCAAGATGCCGTCTCTAATTACCTATGTTAATTCACCATGTCAGCTCCTAAATCCACCAGCTTGGACAGACCTGAAGAAAAATAGGACCTGACTTGGTTAGGCGCTGAATCCCCTCAATTCCCATTTACTTGTGTAAGAACAGGGAGTACGTGGTGCTCAGCATGAAAGCCGAGCAGGAACAGTTTACTGTGACATTCTGGTAGAAACCCAGTCACAACTGCAGACGTGACCCACTTTTTCTCTAATTCTAGGAAATTCCCTTTCTAGGAGATTAGAATGCAACACAGGAGGGGAAAAAGATGAGGGAAAACTGGAGAAAAAACCTTGCTGAAGTGGGTATCCAGATTTGGCTGCTCTAATCTAAGCAGTAATTAAGTCCAAGTGGCTGTATGACAAAATTCAGCTGTTGGCACTTGCCAAAGGAAAACAGCAGAAGCTGCAGCTGCTCTGGTCAAACGTGCTCAGGGAACTGCAGGGACTAAAACCTTGGCTGAACGGCAACACATGACAAGACACACTACAATCCATACTGAGACATAACACTGTTGAGAAATTAGTTGACCCCTTTTGTACTTTTCCCTTTTAAGCTCGACACTAGCTCGAGGCTGAATTTTGAAGCTCTCGCCCAGATACTGCATGAACCTCAAGAATGTGCTTGAAAAGCCCAAGCTTACTTAAAACTAGAATTGGCTTATGTTGTCCTGTTGGGAAATGCTGCTTTCACAACGTTATAGCCATTTAACTGAGAAATGATATAAAGGAAATGGTTCATTTCCTGAGAAAGGGACATGTCGGCACTTCCACCCCCAATGCAGATTAAACCAAATTTTGCAATTTCTATACTGATCAGCTATAATTAAAAACAGGACCAAGAAAATTGGACAGAAAACTCTTAATTCACAGATTCTCTAGGCAAGCAAAGGAGGAACTGTCATGAAGGGCTCACGAGCGACACAGAACACCTTGCTCATCTGGTTTGTTTCAGAGAAAAGGAGGATAAAATGGAGAAAACTGTTGAGGCAAACCTTATAAGGAAAGCACAATGTGGTTGGGAAGGAAACAAATGACCTTCCAGCGTCAAAGGAGAGGTTATAACGGCTGCTAATTGAAATGTCTGAGCAGGAACTGAGCTGCTCAAAGAAAGTAAATATTTAAAAATAAGAAATCTTTGACAGGCCGCTGGGTTAATTTTCCTGCCAAATTCATCAGAAGCAAATACTTGGATCTAATATCATGGAGAGTGACTTGGGATCTGAAACACCTCAAAGAGCTGAAATATGTAATAGGGTTTAGGCTCTCAGCCAAGCAAGGTGGGTTAGGATAAAGGATCCGGTTTCCTTTTCTTTTCTTTTTTTTTTTTTTAAGTTTGAGGGGTTTTGTAATTAAATGTGTATTGTTCA